GTTTCCCAGCAGCTTCTTTCTGGCACTCCACTGCTGTTTCAAAAGGATCCCAGGGACCGGACGCAGAGCTCCACAAGAAAGAACGATTTTCCACCCCCAGCCTCCTTGAGCCAAGCGGCGTGCTCCTTCACTCCCCTGGGAAAGCCTGGAGTTCCTTCTTCCTCCAAATAAGCCAAATCAGCTTGCTCACCCCTCCTCCCAAGGGGGCAGGCTCCTGTCCCCTGGGCGAAGCTGCCACTCCCCGTGCCTGCCAGCTGCAACCACTGCCAGCTTGCACAGCTGGGCCACCACACCCCTTCCGTGTCCAAAATAGAGGCTTAGTGGCTTGAAAGTCAATTCTCTCTCACTTCACCCTCAGTGCCTAAAACCTATTTGTTTGCTAGCCCTTTGTAATGCTCTGGATTTTTCTGTACATTGAAATATTCTCCCTCAGTCTGACAGCTGGCAAGGACCCCTAACATTAAATGCGATGTACAATTCCAACTCCTTTTCTATGTGTATCGATGGGAAGAGGGCGACTCGTGCCCAGGAAGGTTCCCAAGTCCTTAATGAGTAAAACAGAAACTCCGTGGATGGCGGGCATAGAGGGGAGATCACCCTGAATCTGCCCCTCTGCTTTCTGCCCCCCTATTTCAAACCTCATGGAAGCTGGACCAAGGAAATTGACTACTGGCGTGTTTCTAAGTCTCAGGCCTAGAAGAAACTACCCTGAATGCCTGGATACCTATCCAAAGGTGTCGTGGAAAAATCCTCAGAGAAGAGCACAGAATGCAGACCCAAAGGACAGACATGCAGAGAGACGGCCACGCACACATCAGCTCCTACTGCTGGCTGCTGGGTGGGAGAGGCAGGCAGGCAGCAACGCATAATGGGGAATCTGCTGACGGGGCTCCACACGCCATCCACCAGCCTCTTACCCACGGTGAGTCCCCTCTCCTGCGGCCCCAGTGTCCTGGCCAGCCCTGGGCAGCAACATCAAAGCCTCAGCAGGTCACAGCTCTCCGCGTCAGAGGCCATGGTGGCTCCGTGCAGCGACCCCACAGTCCCAGGCTGCCGGGAGCTCCCACAGCTGTAGGTGCAGGGAGAGCCGGAGCAAGGACAGCATGTGTGCGCCAGCACAGCAGGGGCAGAGAAGAAGGTTTCCAGAGAAAACAAAAGCTGAGAGCACCGGCCCTGCAGGTGGAAAGGCGCCGGGCCCGGTGGGGAAGGCTGGTGCGGAGCGCAGAGATGGACGCGCAGAGCTGCAGCCCTAGCTGACGATCCAAGTGTGTGCTGCTCCACTCCTCCAGGCTCATTTCCATGAATGCAGTCACAGCCAGCCCCTCCTACTATCCCCCATTCCCGGCCTCCTGGGGGGAGGGGAGGCACCGCCAGCATTTGCACACAGGCTGCACTTGCTTTCCTGTCTCCCTCAGAAGCAAAAGCCCGATGCTGCTTTCACTGCAAGAATGCCAGCCTTACTCCAGATGCCCTCTCCTTACTGCATGGATAAACAAGAGACTGGATTAGGGGGTGGATGTTCTGTCACCCTAAAGGCACAAGCCTAGTCCTTCCCACTGCCCCGCATCAGGTCAGCAGGCACAGTGGCACTGACCAGACTGCTCCAGCACCGTCCTGGAGGGGCTTCAGGAGGAGTATCTTTTGCTCCCTTCCTCCAGGGATCCCATGCCCTCCACTTCCACGAGGGACACTCCAGCCTTTTTACCAAGAAGGACTCGCCTCCTACCCAGTGCACTTGCAGCCACCAATGGTTCTTTCTTCACCAGAGGCTGCTGCATCGCCTTTGAGGACACTTGCCTAATATCGGGTTGGAATATTAGGCAAGTGAAACTTGGGGATGATAATGCAAGATGGCTGGTGACAAGAAATATGGCTACAGCCTGAGGATAGCAGCTCTCAAACCTCAGAGGGCACGAGAATCACCAAGGGTGCTTGTTAAACATGTGGATTTGGGACCCCAGTCCCAAAACCATGAACTCCAGAGACCCAGGCCCCTAAGTGACACAGAATATAAGGTTACTGCAGACCACACACAGCTTTTGACTAAGAAGGGAGGAGGTATTTTTTAAACAACTAGAAAGTAAAAGGGAAACACTGTGCTAGAGCGGGCTTCCTCAGTCTGGACATCACTGGCATAGGGAGCAGGTCACTCTTTGTGGCAGGGCTTCCCTGTGCATTGCAGGGTTCTTAGCTGTGTCCCTGGCCTCTACCCACTAGGTGCCAGCAGCACCCCCATCCCGCTTCCCCACAACCAGGTGTGACAACCAAAAAGGTCTCCAGGCATTGCTGAATGTCCCCCGTGGGGCAAAACTGCCCTGGTTAAGAATCATTGCTCTAGATAAACAATGGGAGAGGGAGTGGGAATCCTAAAAACACTCCCATACCCTCCCTCCTTTCCAGTCTCCTGCCATTAGGAAATCGTCGTGGAAGGCACCCACCCCTCTGCAAGCCCTGCCTCCACTGCCATGCATGGGGGTTGGGCTGGCTGGGGAATGCAGACAGACGTCCTCATCACCAGGCAGTGCCACCAGGCCTGACCCAAATACCCTGGCTCTGCGTTGCAGCCTGTCTTTTAAGAAACAGCCATAGTGTGGACAATTTTCTTTTAGTGTCAAGAGAGTAGTACTCATTTAAAAGAAACATACTAAGTCCATGAAAAACAAATTCTAAAATTCTACAAAATGTAGATTGAGAGTCCCAGTGCAACATGTCCCTGGGCCCCCGTCTTCCTCCTGCTCGCTGTCTAGTAAGCTATCCCACCTCTCCTCCTGGTCCAAGGAAGACTCCACTTTCCCTGGATCCACTAGAGTGCTCAGTTATGTCTCTTTGCTTCCTTCTTGTTCAGAAGCTCATCCTCGCCATCCATCGAGTCTTACCTCCTACAGGGAGAACTCCGATTCCTCTAGCCATGCTCCCTGCTCAGTTCAAACGTATTAACCATCACCTGATGACCTTCTTTATCACTTGGTAAATAACCAGGTGATAAATTACATGATACAAACACACTCGGAGAAGACAGCCTGGACTATCCACACTGGTTATCTACTACCATGTTTCTCAGGGATTTCACATGTATGTGGAATTAAGCTCTTGCTTTTCAGTAATATCTTGTACTTTAAATATTCTCATAGCACTTTTCATAGTCCTAAGGGCTGTCTTATTCTGAGGTGACATCACTGGTTTTTACACAGATACACATACACACATACACACTCTCTTCGGGGACTGAAAGAGCCCAGCAGGTGAGTTCTGACCCGTCACTCTCTACAGAAGGCTCAGTCATCATGTGCCAGGCTCACTATGGCTCTCCCTTTAACACGGCCAGCTTCCACTACGCCGACAGAGTGGATCACAGCCGGGGTTTACCTGCAGTGTGTGAACCTAGGCAAAGGCTTTAGCCTGACCCAGGCCAGAGACTGCAGGTGGCAAAAACCTGCACTTTCAGTTAATTCCAGGCACAGACAACATGAGAAAAGGATGCCAGCCCACAAAGAAGTTACCAAAAAAGCTGCAACCAAGAAGTGTGCAGTGTGGCCCTCCTCATATCTGAAGAAAACAGATGCCACAATATATACTCTGCACAATCCAGCTTATAAAACAAACCACAGCCATCAGAGAGAATCACAGGAAACGACTGGCCACAGAACAGGCATCTCAGGAATCCCAACAGAGAAAATGAACGTTTTAAAAAATAATTTCTCAGACTCATAATTCAACAATTTTTTTAAAAGTTCACTGCATGGAAACGAGGCCCCCTGTCAGTTACTGTGGAAGACACAATGCTGGAAAGACATGGTTTCGGCCCTCAAAGAGCTCATGTGTTACTATTCTTTTTAAAGAAAAAAGAAACGGGCAGCCCGTAAATGCCAAATAAATGCTGTCTGCAAGGCGCTATGCAGAGTGGGGGTCAGAGAAGAGCAGGGCCCAGGTTAGTCCAAGACGGCTCCACGCGAGAGCCTGGGAGAGGGCAGTCCAGACAGGTGGAAAGGGCAGCACAAGGGACAGAGGCTGGAAAAGCAAGCTCCAGGCAGACTGTGGTGCCTTTGAATTTGACACTGAGACAGCTGGATTCTATTCTGTTGTTGAGTTGGGACAAGAGATAAAGAAAGAAATTCTCCTGGAAGAGCAAGAAGCGGCAGCTAGGCGCCATGAGAAAGAAATGGAACTGGAAGCTTTGCAGTAGTCTTCACTGCACCGCGGTCTGCACTTCCATTCAGAAGTGGTAGCAAAGAAGTATTTCCTCGCCCTACTCCAGCTCACAGCTTCAACTACCATCTACCAGCACTAATTCCCCAAACCGCTACTGACTTCCCATCCTCTTTCCAGTTCTGTGTCTCAGGTGCAAGGACAGCTGGAACCAGAAAGCGACCCTCTGACAAGTGTGCAAGGGAAATGTGCACCAATCGCTTTATTTCTAAAGCGGAAAATGAGGCACGAGGAATACATTCAAATCTCAACAGTTTCATCAGCATCCCAAACCCACGAATTCACAATGCTGCTCAAAGGTCCTCTCTGCCCATGAGGCGTCCCCAAACCCCAAATCACCTGGGCCACAGGCTCCAAGCACCACAGACATGATAAGCATAAAGCTCTTAGGCGAGTCAGGATTCTCAATCTCCCCTCCTTCTGTGTCCCATGAAAACAGAGGCCTGGAGTTATTTGATTTTTTTCTTTAAACTCTGTTCCACTCCCTATACTTAAAAATGTCTCATTATTCTTTAGTAAACGCTAAGAGCGTAAAATTCTTGTTCAAAGAAGCAAAAACTGGCATCTGTTCCTGCTCTGAGAAGGACCTGAAGATCTCTTGAGAGGGAGGTCATTTCTACCTTCACCTCAGAATAGGAACAAACCAGCTCCCTGTTCCAGACATCACCCTTACCAGAGTTTCCCAGAGTCCGGGTGTGCAAAAGTTTGGGAGAAGTGTGAGAAGGAGCTGATGAGGGCACCAGCCTTCCAAGTCATGGGCAGGCCCGCGGTACTGGCCCCCTGCCTCCACCTACCAGCAGGGCGAGGCTGGTACAGGCACGGCCGGCCCAAGCCTCCTGGCCAGTGCATTCTTCCGGAGCCAACTCAGTGTGCTAGGAGGGCAGGCTTCTTCTCCGTCTCGGCTGCTGTCATGAGGCTGCTCTTGGACCGTCCCCTATCTCCTGCCCATGCAGCGGGCAGAACTTTAGGAGGAAGAAAGAGGTCGAGACCTGTGGCAGGGGCAGCCAAGGAGAGCAAAGAGGAGGAGCAGAAGGCAGGCCAAGCTCTGCACCTTTGAGATCCAGGTCAGCACACCTGCTCCAGAACTAGCTCAAGAGGTGCTGACCCGTGAAGAGAGCAGTGAGTCCCTGATATCATGAAGGTGTCCTATGGCCTCCCTCCATGACAAACGGATGCCCACCTCTAGATGGCAAGATATAGTTGGTTTCTCTGGACAAACTCTATTTTACCCCAAACACTGGTAAATCCTCCCCAGGCCAGGCTAGCTCCTGCAGCAGGGCCAGCCTCCCTAGACAGGAAAAAGAAACATGGAAAACAAAGGGGACCTGAGCAAAGGTAGAAAGACCCCAATAATGAAAGTTCTCGTATGTATACCACGATGTTTAAAAATATTATTTACGCCAGGCGTGGTGGCTCATGCCTGTAATTCCAACACTTTGGGAGGTCGAGGTGGGCAGATCACCTGAGGTCAGGAGTTCAAGACCAGCCTGACCAACATGGTGAAACCCCATCTCTACTAAAAATACAAAATTAGCCGGGCATGGTGGCACATGCCTGTAATCCCAGCTACTTGGGAGGCTGAGGCAGAAGAATCACTTGAACCCAGGACGCAGAGGTTGCAGTGAGCCAAGACCGTGCCATTGCACTCCAGCCTGGGCAATGACAGTGAAACTCTGTCTCAAAAAAAATTATTTACATTACCAACATGATGTTTACGGAAGTATAATAAAAAGGATATTAAACTTCACATGGGAAAACATATATATGAGGACAGTCAGAAAAACATGAAGGGGAGAAAGGGTAATGTGAGGGTGCAGCTACCAGAGATTAAAGCATGTAAGGCTTCGGTAATTGAAACTGCAGGAGAAGAAAAAGACCAGAAAACAAACTCAAGAAATACTGAAACACACAGGTAGCACTTTGAATCGGTAAAGAAAAATAGGATTATTCAGTCAAGGGTGCTGGGCAAGTAAATAGCCAGCCAGCCATTTGGGATAAAACTAAGCGGAAATGAATTCTAGCTTAATCAAAGATGTTAATGTAAAATAAAACCTGAATAATTCTAGAATAGAGCATAATATTGGTGAGTCTGTTCATTTGCGACATGAAAATGAAAAGCTTCTGAGTGAAAAATAATATCCCATAAGCCAAAAGGTAAACAACTAAGACAATAAATTCACAAAACATATGACAAAGGGTTAATATCTTTTAAAAAAATTAATTAACTTATTATTTTTAGAGAGAAGGTCTCACTCTGTACCCAGGCTGGAGTGCAGTGGTGTGATCATAGCTCACTGCAGCCTCAGACTCCTGGCCTCAAGCGATACTCCCATCTCAGCCTCCAGAATAGCTGGGACTATAGGCGTGTGCCATCACACCTGGCTAGGGTTAACTTCTTTTTTTTTTTTTTTTTTTTTTTTGAGAAGGAGTCTCACTCTGTCGCCCAGGCTGGAGTGCAGTGGCCGGATCTCAGCTCACTGCAAGCTCCGCCTCCCGGGTTCACGCCATTCTCCTGCCTCAGCCTCCCGAGTAGCTGGGACTACAGGCGCCCGCCATCTCGCCCAGCTAGTTTTTTGTATTTTTTAGTAGAGACGGGGTTTCACCGTGTTAGCCAGGATGGTCTCGATCTCCTGACCTCGTGATCCGCCCGTCTCGGCCTCCCAAAGTGCTGGGATTACAGGCTTGAGCCACCGCGCCCGGCCGGGTTAACTTCTTTAAGTCACAAAGAAAGCAGCATAAAAATTAGTAAAACAAAGATGAATACAATGAGCAAAGGATATAAAAGGCAGATTACAAAAAGAGAAATACAAATGGTCACACAGAAAAAGATGCTCACAGTCACTATGTGTTTAATGCAAATTAAAACACGAATAACATACCATTTTCCATTAGTCTGGCAGGAATCAGAATGCCAGATGACACAAAAAACTGTCAGAGGAGTGGGCTACACAGGTAGTCTCCCGTGCTGCTGGGAGAGTGTAAACTGGTACGACCTTTGGCACGAGCAAAACATAAACAGCACATACCTTTTGATTTGATTTGAATCAAACTTAGGAATTTGATTCTTAAATTCCATTTAAGAATGGCTATGCGCCCCAAATTCCAAAAATTTTAAACTACCTAAGCACTATTTGGTAATTTAAAAGAATGAGGTGATTTGTAAATGCCAATATGAAAAGATCTCTAAGACACATCTGGTGAAACAGGATGGCACAGAACACCTTCTCACAAGTAACACCTATGCTTGCTACATACACAGGGAGCTTCTGAGAAGGACGTACCTGAAACTGCTAGCAGGAATCACCTTTCAAAGCAAGGACTGTGGAAGGAGAGTGGGGGAGGCTTGGACTCTTCCCTTTCTGCCTATCTGTGTATCTGGATCCACAACTAACCCAAAATTTGATGTTGAAGTTTTCATTCAAAGAAAATACAGAAATGCCCCCAGCCACTTACCATTTGCTCAGACTGGCCCAATATTTCTATTATAGAAGAAATATCCTTGGATGCTGTTCTAATGCCCATGAGGTGCCTGTCGTAACTACACCCATTCTGCTGTGATTTCATATGTGGTCTCTCGTTTGAATTCTGCGACTCAGAATCCTGACTCTTCACAGAAAATACAAAGGGAAAGAGGCTTTAGACACCAGAAGGAAAGGCGTCAATAGTCACTGAGTAGGCCGGGTGTGGTGGCTCACGCCTGTAATCCCAGCACTTTGGGAGGCTGAGGCGGGCAGATCACGAGGTCAGGAGATCGAGACCTTCCTGGCTAACACAGTGAAACCTCATCTCTACTAAAAATACAAAAAAAAAATTAGCTGGGTGTGGTGGCGGGCGCCTGTAGTCCCAGTTATTCTGGAGGCTGAGGCAGAAGAATTGCGTGAACCCGGGAGGCAGAGCTTTCAGTGAGCCGAGATCGCGCCACTGCACTCCAGCCTGAGCGACAGAGCGAGACTCCATCTCAAAAAAAAAAAAAACAGTCACTGACTCAAAAAAAGAAATTCACTGCATCTTTTTTTAGGTCAGAAGTTGAGCTTCCACGATTCCTCTGTAGAGGATGGAAGAACATGATACAAGTTACGAAATTATTTTCTTTTTTTGTTGTTTTTTTGTTTTTTTTGAGACGGAGTCTCGCTGTCGCCCAGGCTGGAGTGCAGTGGCATGACCTCGGCTCACTGCAAGCTCCGCCTCCCGGGTTTAAGTGATTCTCTGTCTCAGCCTCCCGAGTAGCTGGGACTACAGGCGCCCGCCACCTCGCCCAGCTTATTTTTTGTATTTTTGGTAGAGATGGGTTTCACCATGTTAGCCAGGAAGGTCTCGATCTCCTGACCTTGTGATCCGCCCGCCTCGGCCTCCCAAAGTGCTGGGATTACAGGTGTGAGCCACTGTGCTCGGCACGAAATTATTTTCTTAAGGAAGAAATGAATGTGTCTGGGCGAGTCCTCACATACCAGCTGATCTACAGGACAGCAGAATTTGACTTTTCTGTCTCCATTTTTCCCCTAGTGTATTACCTAGGTCTACTGAATCAAACACATCATGTAGTCAGGAGAAAAACAAAAAGGTAACTAGGTATATATGAAGGCATGAGATCATCAAAACTCAACAGTGGCTGTTAAAACTTAAAATCCTGGCTGATTTGGGCTCAGTTTTCAGAGTTCTTCCCAGGAGCCACAGCAATGGCTTTCATTTACTGAACTGACCAGGGCTAGACTAGGTAACTTCTAAGGCACCTCATGGCTTTAAGAGTCTGTGATTACACAACTGTTAGTGACTCTGTCCCAGTTAATTACTTAACGGCTCCAGATGTAACACAAAACCCACAGGAATTCCCCATAAGTTGAAGTTCTTCAGAAGGTAAACAGGAGAAGATGGTGGCAGTTTTAAAGAGTCCTTTTCTAAAAAGGAAATCTCAGCTGGGCTGAAAACAGAAAGAAAGGCAGAGACAAGAACACTATAAATTCAGTAAAGTTGCCTTTGCAGGATTGTCAAAATCCAAGGGAAAAATGAGAGATGGATACTATTAAAAATTTCCAGAAGGTCTAGCCCTCCATCTCTGATGTAACCAGCAGTAACCTGCTTGCAGGTTCTGTCAGCCTGCAGCCACACACACGTTCCCGCGAACCCTCCTGAAGCACAGGGAGGGGTGGAGGAAAACGGGAATCTCTCCTGTTTCCTAGGGCCACTCCTGCACCAACTCTGCCTCCTATCTGCATCTACGGTCCCTGACTCTGTCCTCCCTTCGGCTGACCACACTGCAGGCTAATAAAGGCTCTTAATGCCCAGACCTGTGCCTACCAAGACCTATGATAACCTGCCTTTTCTCTCCACCGATACTGACTTCTTAGAAAATTCCACCTGCTGCCTTCCACATTCCCTCCTGTCTAATCAGACTTTGGGTCTTGACCCCCCACAGCCAGCCCTGTGCTTTCATATTCCATAATGAAGAGAGAACTTGAGAGGCTACAGAAAGACTCAGACAATGGGTAAGGGTCAGCTTTCTTCAAAGGGGCAGAATCCAAGCCCTTGTTTATATTCACCTTCATTAAGAAGAAAGTGCAGTTCTAATCCTCTGTATAATACCATGAGCATTCATCTCTGGTGTACTCAACAGGAAAGCCTATAAAATTCAAACCAGAGTGAATCCTCTTCAAAACTTGTCACAGCAGATGGTGATACAGGTTTCTTGCTATGATGTATGCTTTGTACAATGCCAAACATGCTCCTGCTTAAAAATAAAGATGTAACCATTTTTGATTCTGCAAAATACAAAATCCATAAGGAAGGGAGTGAGAAATATCTAGAAGGATATGAATTGATAGTTACAGCACCTCAGGTCTTCCTGCAAACACCTCAACCTAAGCAACTTGTCCAATTAGAGACTACCACAATCCCATGGCACACATAAAAACATGGGATAACTGCTGGGTGTGGTGGCTCACGCCTGTAATCCCAGCACTTTGGGAGGCCGAGGTGGGTGGATCATGAGGTCAAGAGATAGAGGCCATCCTGGCCAACATGGTGAAACCCTGTCTCTACTAAAAATACAAAAATTAGCGGGACGTGGTGGCACGTTCCTGTAGTCCCAGCTACTCGGGAG